ACTTAAGTACGACTACTAACGTAAACGTTTAAACTTTAATTTAAAACTTAAACTAACGTAAGTAGTAGTAGTACGTACTACTCTACACACGACGTACTATATATATATATATATATATATATATATATATATATATATATATATCTTAAATGAATCAAGAGGAATTTCTGAAGTTCTTAAGCATTAAAAGCCTGGAAGTTTAATGGTAACAAAAATAGTTTAAAACAGCTATGCTAAATTTTATACTATATCTACCCTTTTGACCACTGTAAGAAATGTTTGACGGTAGGTTAAAAAATGCTTCAAGATCTTAACTAAAATTTCTTCAAACTATAGCCACTGGTGAATAACAATGTGGACTGGGAATCAGTGTAGTATGTGTTAAACTTTTCCACAAGAAATACAGAACTGGAAAATTATATTTTTTGCTTCAACAAACAAAACTTTAACAAGCAAGATTGTTAACACAGATATGAACTTACAACTATTTATCAAGTTTCACACAACTTAAGTTACTGATAACATTCAAAAGTTGGTGGAACAGGAAAAAAAAACATTATGAAGCAAGTAAATCACTAACTTATGTGACTTAATTTTGACAGTTACACTAAAGAGTTAAGTAATAAATACAGTTTATTCAGTGTCAAAACAATTTCCACATCTTATTAAGCAATCAACTCGAACATTCCCTACATTTTCAATTCTATTTCAAAAGATTTCAGCCCCAGTGTATCACAGTCTTTTACATCCCCAACATTCATCCACCCTCATATCACCCTGGTAACCCTCCTCTGAACCTTTCCACTTATTAAATCTATGTCCTATAGTATCATCAATATGCACAGAATGTACATTTAACTACACCTTTCCAATTAGTCAAAATACTTTCTTAAATAAAGAGAATAACACTGTATACATAATTCTAATTAAGGCCTAACAAGTGATCTTTATAGATAATTACTTCTTTCTGGATATAATTAGTATGTCTATAAATATAGCCTACAATTCTATTAGCTTTACTATTAGCAACAGAGCACTACTTTGATAGCTTGAGTGACTTACCTACTACTAGGCCAATATCCTTTTCTTCATTCACGCTAGTGAATGGGTTCTCTTCTGTATTAAATGTGTGATCCCAATAATTATAACCCAAGTGCATTACCTTACACCTACTTTAATTAAAGATCATATGCCAAACATTTTAACTAACCAACTGATCCAAACCCTTCTGTAATACCTTAGCATCCTCAATAGAACTTTAAGAATACCATTACAGGGATAGAAATAATGAAATAAAATTACATTCCCTCAAGGGAAATGCTATCAGGAAGGTTACATTCCCTCATGAATTGTTTTTTTTTTATTTAATCCATACAATATGTTTCCTTTTATTGGTCGTAACAAAAGAAATACAGATGGATCATGCATTCCTGATTGGGAACAACAACTAAAAAGATGTAATTCCTCTGGAATGTGGGAATACAATATTTTGATCCCTGCATCATTAAGATCATTATCGTAAATAAGGAAGTACAAAGGCCATAGCTCTAACCCATGAGGCACTATACTAGTAACAAGGGTCTAGATTGAATGAACTCCATTAGTAATGCAATCCAGTTAACTAGATTGTCTCAAACCTTTACCAATGAGATTTTCTTGGCAAATCTTTAAGTAGCACCTTAACAAAAGCTTTTTTAAAATCTAAGTACACAAAGTCCACATAACCAAAAAAAGTAACATCCCCAAAAAGCCGTAAGAAACATTCATTGTCTTTGAAAACTCAACCTATTATTTGGATACATACTCACCACCAGGACATCAGATTTACCCCTCTCCCCCCTCCCTATGTGTATGAACCCTTCAACAAAAACCTTACAATAAGAATCTTTAAGGGCCTAATCCCCATTTTAACATTTTGATTAACATTAACATATTTAAAAAATTCCTTGCTGCTGGTTTTAACATTGTCAGCCAGTTACTTCTCATACATCCTTTTGGATTTCTTAATTTGTTTCCATAGCTTTTCTATGATTTTATAAATCTTCCAACTTTTCTGTCAATTTAAACTTCTTAAATTTATGCCATCTATCCCTGATTTTCTCCTTTATGTGTTTAGTAAGCCGATTAGGTTTGATTTTCCTCGTTATCCTTTTCCCCTTTTTAGGAACATGCCAATCTTGAACTAAAAGCTATTTATTCTTAAATATTTCCCAAATGTGTTGCACATCACCTTGTAACTCATCTCAATTCTATTATGAAAAATCTTATTCTCATGGCTTCAAAATTAGCTTTCTGAAAATCAGGAAGTAAATTTATTTTTCATCTCAATATGTAACAAAGCCTCAAATCTAATTATGCAATGATAATTATTCCTCAAGTGTTCCTCTTTTTCAATCCTTGCAATCATATTCTCATTAGTGGTTAACAATAAGGCTAAAATGGCACCCCTCCCATCTGGTTGGATCTTTGACCATGTGGTATAGAAAACTATTCGAATCACTCCACACAAAAATCTCTCACTTGCTATTTATCTCCACACAATTCCAATCAATGTTTCTAAAATTAATGTCTTCCATAATTATTGCATCAGTATTCTTTTCAGTAACAACCCTGACCTTACTATACAATTCTTCATTGACTTCATCTATTCAATCAAATGCCTACAATGACTGCCAATTAAAAACTTCCTACCCTTAAAATCCCCAAACGTAATCCATGTAGGTTCAACCTCTTGTTTACCATTTCTTGTGTTGTATTCCAATAGGTCGCATTTCATTCTTTAAATGCACACTCTTAAAGTACCACTACCAAATAACTTCTCAAATTTCAAAATAATTCTCATTATCAGCATTCTCCAAATTAACCAAGTTTTCAGTAATTCCTATTAAACCAATCTTCCATTTAAACTAAAGCCCAAAACTTGTACATTTTGTTCCCAAAACTGATCAAAAACTAATATTAACTAGAATATAAGCAACAGAACTTGCTCTTGAATCTACTATATTTATCTTTTAAATCAAAGACTTACCTTTATAACTGTCAATGAACTAATGCTCTCAATTTCTTATTTTCAAGCTCATTGTTGCCTAGCTATCCTATAGGTATCTTTAATCTAAATCTTCCCAACTCTTTCACTACTATGCAAACTTCATTTAAACTATCTTTAAAGCTTCACCTAACATCCCTTATGAAACCCTACTCCAACATACAATTCAACTTACCTTGTAAACTATCTCACAGATCCAACCAGCCCACTTGTTGCTCCAAGTGTATTCCTGGTAATCTTTCATTTAAGTCTTAAATCCTGCTAAATAATTCATTCCTGTATCTAATCTGAAGGAGCCACATGCCTATTTCTATCCATAAATCTATGAAGGCGTTTATTTGTTGTTGTTGTTTTTTTTTATACATCATACTTCTTAAGCATCTCTTTCAATTTACTATTTAAGATCATTTTCTTTTACATGCACAACAAAAAGAGAACAATTCTTGTTAACAATAAATAAACATTAGAACTGTCAACATGCTCTATAATGCCTTGTATTTCAGCACCTGCTAAAGAAAATCAGTTCTGGTCTTCCTACACTCACCACTACAAATACCTCTATTACTACACTTAAGAAGGAAAGTACAAACTATGTGAACCTCTTAATTATCCTATTGCTCACTTCAAGCAGCCAAAAGTCTAAATCTATGACTTGAAACTAAATGAACTAGTCTCTAGAGGAACTTACTTTTTTTTTTAGTACTCTGCACCCTTGTAAATCCAGAATGCTCATTCTTACTTCCCCAAAGAAATCTTAATCCAAATTTTATTTGTTTCTTGTCTTGCTTCCTTGATTTATGTTCCTAATGTGCTATTTATCCCCTATAATAGTGCAATCTTCTCCAAAGATATTCTAGCTAAGAACATTCTTCAAGTGTAGTGTCCTGTATCTTTCCTAGCCTTCAGAAAGTTGTAACTAAGCACACAGTTCTCAAGCAAAAGCAATCCTGGAACTTATCATACCCTATAAATTTCAATCTACTTGTCCATGAACCATCTATAAACATATTGAAATTTTGGTAATTTTTATTATCTACTACCAACATATCTACTCAATAATTATATAATTAACTAAAATTAAGCTACTTCACTCTTTATAGAATAACCCAAGAACAACACTGATTATATGATAATTAGAAAAAGCTTAACTATAAGTTACACATAAAGCATAAAACCTGTAATTCAAGAGGAGGCTGCTTCAAATCTAATTCAGTCATGACAAGAAGTGCTTTTCCATCAATTTTGTGCTTATCACAGAGAAGAGGAATGTATGTTTCAAATCCATTTTTATCCAACCATTCTGCTACCTCACGCACATTCCACTCTCCTGCCTTACTAGTCATCTTATCTTTCCATTGAAAGAAATCAAATTATATTCTCCTGAAAAAGATAAATATCATTTTCAAACAAAATACAAGTCATCACAGAGCTTTGTATTCTCTTTAGTAACAATAATCCAAATGAACAGCAAGCAAAATGTCATATGAAACAAAACCATTCTGAATTATGAAGACAATATTAAACACAAGAATAATTGTTCAAAGATATTAAAAAAAGTATTAAAAAACACACAAGTATTAGATGAAAAATAAACCTCATAAATACAATAAATCTTTTCATACTATCCAGTTTATCAATTTCAAGAAATATGTAGAAAATGTTTCTTATAAACTTTAGTATCAAATTGTATGAATGTATATCAGCCAACTGGTCAGCAACTTTATATATATAGTCAATGCTTTGCTTAGAATTATAGAGTTAAATCACTTATTCTCATATTATGAAAAATCCTTGTCCCTAAGGATAACTGATAATAGAGCAAATATTACAATACACTAAACTACATGTCCATGTATATATAGTCATGGTAGCATCACCATCACTTTAATGAAACTACTGAAAATAAGAGGGGAAGATATCAAATCATTAATACAGTTTAAAATTAAAGTGCAATTCTATAGCATAGTTTTCCAAATTGCAGCCTTAGAGAAAATACTGAATAAATACCATTAGTATTGCTGCAGTTTGCACCATGAAAAACTATTAAAATCAACTCATTTATAAAACTTTCAAAATCTAGACCTTATTATAAAAAATGGCCAATGTTTCTGATGAACCTTTAAGAAATTATTTACAATCCATGCAAGATAAAGTGTAAAGGGTGTGTGAAAAAGGTGTTAATGTTATGTCGTACGTAATATCAAGCAACCAATTACAAGGACAAGAACTTTTTTTCATTAACACATATACATCTCCTCCAAATCTATTAACTATGGTTCATAATTCAAACAAGTAACCACAGATTTCACCACAAACCTAAACTTTCCATACTTTATGCATACTTTGATAGTTTGACATCCACATCCTTCAAAGTTAAAATTCTATTGACATTACTCAAAAAAGCCCTCAGAATTAATGGCAAGCTGGCTTTAGTGTTTATTTTACTTTTTAAGTATTTTGTTAATACTCTGGTAATACTTTAATTTTTTTAACATTTCTGGATATAGCTTTCAAATTAAAACAAATATGAAGCTCGTATATTGTTTTAACATTTATGAATATGGGCCTAGACCTACCAAATTATTTTGCGCATTTCCATAAAGAGAAAATAATTATGTTCTTTGATAGATTGTTTAGGCAGAGTATTCATGATGAGTACAGTTATATAATAATATTGAACTTTTGTCACATAAAACAATACAAGAAAACTATTACCTTTTGACCCTCACCATGTTTCAAAATTATATTTAGGTTTCTAATGCTATGTCAATATGTGAAAAAAAATAACACCTGGTGTTATTTACATTTATTAACAATAGCTACATTCAAATGTCATAAATCATTGACGTAAAATTAAATACAAATTTATTACATAAGACACCTTGCATGATTTTTCACAAGAGTAAGGCAATACAAAAAGCACTCCCAGTGATAATATCAATATATCCTTCATTTACCATATTACTGACTATAATAATTTCCAAGTTCTAATTACTTCTACGTTTTTGTTTTTTAATTTTACATCAACTTAAATTAAACATAACCTTGTACATTCGTAATTTGCATAAAATTGCATAATTTTAGAAAACCTAATCAAATGTTAAAATAATTTAAAATAACAATTTTTATTTGATGATTTGAGTTTAACCATTAAAAACAATAATATTAATAACGAATATCAAATTCAACAGGAACAAGTTCGTATTTTTAATTATTTATCAACTTATGTACTAGTACTAATCTACGCTTACAAGTTCTTTTCCATTTCAAACTCAAAGTTACGTTAACTTAAGTGATAATAGTAATAAATACTAACAAATATTACTCTTAATTCAGGTTAGAATTTCCAACCTTTTTCTTCCTTCTTTTAAACAGACAATTGCATTTAAAAAATGCTAAAAAGAAAAGAGAAATGTGGTTAAGGTTATATACTGAAATTTACTAGGCTCACTAATAACGTGATTACTTACAGCCTACTCGCTCCCCTCCCCTTACTCTATCCCTTCCCGGCGCGCATAGGAATGACTTGTACACGTGCCGTTGTTTTCTATCCCAAAAAAAGAAAGAAAATATAGTTATTTATTTAGTTATCAAAAAACTCCAGTAAAATTACATAACATAATGCGGTATAAAATAAAAACAGTTTTAAAACCATGTTTAATGAATTAGCTTTAGTGGTTTCAAATGCACTTCTTAATTAAACTAACTAAATGAGTAAATAATGGTAAGATGTTTGTTCATATTTTGTGTTAGACAACTTCGCAGGTGGAAAACTACAAACAAATTAAAATTATAACTTATTAAATAATGATGTGTGGATAAAGAGAACAGGTAACTTTAAAATAAATAGTCATTTTCTTTTAATAATCAGAACATACATCCGTACACCTCTGTACGCTGTAGCTGTGGTTTTAAAAAGGTGTGGCACAGAAACAGAATCGAGGAAGTATATATCTCACTGAAAAATTATTGTGGTATGTAAATTTGCCCGAGCTCGAGGATTAGCGCAAGATTGCAACCTTTCTACGAGGATGTCAATTAATTATACATACAGAACACTTTTACCATACAGTACTTAGAAACATTTACCAGAATATACTCGAATACAGTTATATTTTTTACAAGTTATGGAATGGTGAAATTTGCAGTTCCTTCAACTGCAACAATAGCAGTCAGATAGCAGCAACTACCACCTACATGGCAACCCTTAACCACGCTGAAAATGTGGAGCATGCTCAGTAACATATTGTTACGACAACGCAGGTCACGTAACGCTTGTATCACGCCACTTCCTTCTCGAACCTTCATGAAATGTCGGGAGACTACTAGATTGGGGTCTTGTATATATAAGACCGGCCGAGAAGCAAGCTAAGGTATTGAGTAATTGAACTGCGCACAGAGAGAATAATGTTGGGCACATGAGACGTTCGTTGTGAGTTATAGCAATTGACTGTTGAAATTAGGTGTATCACAAAATATTATTCAGAAAGAATAAACCAGTTTTAATCAAGAAAGGAC